TTTAGCAATTTTAAGTAGTCTCATAACACTATTTTGTTTTGTTGCTTGATGACGTCTTCAACATATTGCGATTATGGTATGGGGTGTTCTGTTCTGATGCTTGCATGGAAAGTACTACTCCCACTGTATTTGAAAGAATGCTGTGGAAAAAAACTTGCCTCTTTTGCGGGAAAGGAGGGCAGGAGGGTTATTAGTGCTTGGTGGACAAAACTAACCCTGTTTATCCCATTCCTCATCCCTCTTGCCCTCCTCCTAACCCTGTGGAAAAAAATCGGCTCACATTGAATCCCCTCTTGCACAACCCCCTCGCCCCTTTATCTTCCTCCTGCAAAGTGCAAACATGGCACACAATCCATGTGTGAGAAACAGAGGGGAGTAAAACAGAAGTCCAGCTTTTCCTCCTTAATCCCCACGCTCAGGAGTAAACATGGAAAAGAATCACTAGTGATTTGCCTCCTTAAACCCTGCGCTCAGGATTTCACACCTTTCTTTCAAATACGGAATGAGTATCTGTTAGTGGTATCAAATTTACTTTATGTTCTGTAGCCAGGTGGTGAGCTCAATCGATGTACAATTAAGCTCCATTTATATAATTTTCGTGGTTCAAGTCAGAACTAGCAAATTGTCCTTATCACTTTATTATATGAGATATCCATACAATAAAATGATGGATAGAGACAAAGCTCACCCCTTGTTAGTTTTGCTCTAGTTTTCTCTTCTTCTCTTTGGTTTTGTTTGCCTTTTGCGTTTTTTTGTTTTACGGAGTTTCAGCCTCTTGTACTCTTGCGTCATCTTGACGTCTCCTTCAAATGCACAACGATGTGCATTTTGGTGCGTGTTTGAGAAAAAAAAATGGTTACCAAGACTGGCATTTTTTCCTGTGATAGTTGAACTATGCAACATGATGCAACTATACATTCCTTTGAAAAATAGCACATTTACTGGTACTTGGGCTGCATGAGAAACCAGTCAGATTTTTTTCCAGAAGCAATTCTGATAAAAAAATATAGTTCTACCTGCAGAAGAGGTGGATTCTACCTTCCGGACTCCTTGCCAATGGATGCTGGTACGGAAAGTGTCATCCGATCGTCATTTCAGATGGGGAGTCCCAACTGTTTTTCTTTCCTTTGTGTTCAAGCCTGTTTCGTGCCAGGATATACAAAGATGGACTGTGGGACTATGTCATGTCAGTTCTGTAGTTTGTCTTTGCTCTGGAATGGCTGTTGTGATTTGCGCTACAGACTTTAATCTGTTTTGAATGTTTGGTTGTCTCTCACTGTTTATAACAATGAAACACCATTTTAGTAGTCAATCCTGATCACATGATGTTTATTGATATTAGATTCTCATCTCTTGGAGTGATTGGTAGAGTTCACTGTAGAATGTGGCACCAATAGTCGCATCAATTACAGCTCAAGCAAAAGAGGATAAAACACGGAAGAAATAATAAAAGCACAAGAACAAATATAAGCTCATGATCACACTTCTAAGCTCATGATCAGGATACAACCATCCTCATCTTCAAGACACCATACATGTAACCAACACATGAAAAATTGTACTTCCTTCATCCCAAAATAAGTGTCACTTATTTAGTACTCCCGATGAAGGAGGTAGTACAAAATTGTTTTGGGGCAGAGAGAGTACTAATATGTTACAATTTTTTCGCATGTTAGAAAACTAGAGTTTTAGACGTAGCAATATAGGAGTACAAATTTAGGTGACAGTAATTTACAAAAAAATATATAGGTAACCATACCTCAAAATAAAATCAAGGTAACCTAGATCTTAAAAAGAACTGAATATATAGGGCTTATTGCCCTCGAGAAGAAAATGAGGCTATCCCAGTTAACTGCTTGTGTTTGAGCAAATTTGCCAAAACTAAAACTTAAGAGGAAAAGAGACATGCGATAACTAGCCCATCTGATTGTTCTAAAATGAAAAAAAATCGCAATATAATGAAATATGATCTAGACGATTAGAATCCTGGGAGCGAGCGCGAGTTGAGGGTAACTTAGATGGTTATATTTCTCATGGTGGAACCAGCCTATCAGGGTTTCAAGTCCTAGACTTGGCATTGATGCTTGCATTTTCCTAGATTTATTTCAGGCTTATCAGCGATGCTCTGCATTTTTTAATAGATTTATTTTAGGCTTTCCGGGGATGTTTGTTTTGTAGGAGGAGACGTTCCCTCCGACTACGACACGCATGTGGTGTCGGCTCAATATCTTAGAGTGAGAAGAAATGTCACGAGCAGATGAGCTACATGAGATGCATCACAAGCCTCCTCTGATGGAAGCCTCTAACTTGGATTCCCTATTAGGCTTGAAACTTGATCTGGGTGTTAGATCCCTGCAAGGGCAAGACGATTTTGACATATGATCAGCCGTCCAAGTCTAGCCATGTGTTGTTGTCAGTTAACTCTTTCTCGTGGAGGCCTCGGGATCAAGGGTGGATGGAGATGAACTCTGATGGAGCTTTATCTCCTGATGGTGCGGAAATGGTTCTTCCGAATGATTGTGGAGCTACCATGTTTCATCATGCAGACAACTATTCTCTTGCCGACATGCTCTAGAGTCGGAACTATGCACGTGCATGGAAGGTTTATCTTTGTCTCTCTAGCATTGTGATTCTCCATTTATCATGGAGATGGTCTCCCTTGTTGCTATGAAGTTGATCCAAGCTCGTGACCATGACAGATCAATCTACGCTCCTAGAGTAAAGGAGATCAAGTACTTGTTTCTTCGTGAATGAGCCTAGCGAATTTTACCAGAACAGAAGATAGAACCTTGACTTGGCTTGGTTCTGGCCCTACTTGTTGCCATGGAGCAAGCTTTAGCTGATTGTATTCTTACTGCCACTGAATACCCTCCGTTCCTAAATATTTGTCTTTCTAGAGACTTTGACAAGAGATTACATACGGAGCAAAATGAGTGAATCTACACTCTAAAACATGTCTATATACAACCGTGTGTGATACTCCATTTGAAATCTCTAAAATGACAAATATTTAGGAACAGAGGGAGTACAAGTTTTCACCCGCAAAAAAGAAAAAAAGCTACATACATGAATCTTATTTTTGAAGAGCGTTTCCCGCAAAAGAAAAAGGACGTGCCATGTAAAACGAACGTCCCCACCGCTGGCCGCCTCTGCTCGGGCACTCGGCGTTTAGCTATGTATAAAAACGGCGCAATTGACCGTTCTGAAAAAAACATCGCCAACGTAACAGAAACCACAAACAAGGAAACGTATGATCAATTGATCATATCCAAGTCGGATTTGAGACGCCAAACTTAAACTGCGTCCAAGCCGGACCCAAGTAGGAGAGGGGAAAATATTCTCGATCGGTGCATACCATGTAAACTGCGTCCTGCGCGTACCCGAGCTGATCTTCGGCGTATATATCTATGTAGTCGGTCTAACCCCCTCAACCAGCGCCAGGAAGCACACCGCCGCACCCACGCCTTTGGCCTGCTACGAATCTGCCTCCTCTCCACCATGTCCCACGACACCACCGCGCCCGGCTGTGCCCAAGCCTGCTGCAATTGCTGCTGCAATTGGGTCGTGACATCCATCATCATAGTCACCGTGATGCTCATCGCCGCCTACGCCGTCGTCCTCCCGCTCCGCATCACCGCCGAGGACGCGTCCCTGGGCCGCCTCGCCCTCGCCGGGCCCAACGGCACCGCGCTGGCGTACAACCTCTCCCTCACCGTCGGCCTTTTCAACCCCAACTGGGCCATGCGGGCCGAGCTCACCGCGCCGCTGGAGTCCGAGCTCAGCTTCGCCGGCGTGCGCTTCGACGGTGCCCGGCTATCTGACGCGGGGCGGAGGGTCGAGGTCCACGGGACCACCAGGTTCCGCGTGGAGGCGGGGGCTCAAAGCGCGGATGCGGCGCTCGGGAGCGCCGAGCTGGCGGAGCTGGTGAAGGAGACCGCGGCGGGCCTGTTCGAGTCGCTGGAGCTGAAGATCACCGGGAGGCTCAGGTACAGGCCGGTGCACGCCGGCGGGACCAGGAGGCTGGAGGCCAGGTGCCCGCTGAAGCCGCGCTTGGCCCCGCCGCCGGGCACGCACATGCTTGTGCTGGACAGGGTCATCAAGTGCCACCGACTTTAGGTCTGTATAAGCAGATTGTGATTAATTAGGGTTTCGTCCTGGCATGACGGATCGAGTAGTATACTAGTAGTGCAGATGCTTCTGATTTTACCACCCTATGTTGCTCCTATGAACAGATAAAAGATGGACATGTCGGGTGATGTGTAGTTATCTATCTAGTAGTATAACTAGTACTCCCTCCTAGCTAAGCTTGATTCAATGCTGTTCCTATGGCAGCATGCAGTTTAATACTTTACGCTCTTATATTTCTTTACGAAGGGAGTATATGATGTGAAATACGCTCTGATGAAGATTTTCCATTGATTCTATGCAACCATATATCATTTCACTGCCCACCTGCGCGCTGCTTTGTACTAGTAATTAACTTGCTGGATGGATTTGTATCCGTTGGATTAATTACTGGCTGGATTAATTTGTATCCGTTGTAGCAGCTAGCTAGCACGGACGGGGAAAAGCAGCCAGGCAAATTCCTCCTGCAGGTGGAGTGCTGTGGCTGCAGGTAGGTTTCACCTTGTTGCTTTCAATTGCTTCCGGAAATGGGCCTGGCCTCCACCATGTGATCGTCGAATCGCCATGCGTCCCCGAGCCCACAAAATTTGCTCATATGTGAGCCTTGCTTCTCAGATGAAGCACAAATTCACGTGGCAACCAAAAATGAAGAAAAATTCAAGCTTCAATTCCATGTACGCTATGGCTAAATGGATGCTACGTCGGACTGCTAGTGCTAGCCAGTCCTATTAGCAATAAAACCAAAACTAGATGCAGGAGTATAAATAAATCAACACGTGATAATGGGCCTTGATCTCTCTAGGTTGTGATCGCTCTTCTTCTTTTCTTTATATAATAAGAACAACAAATATGTAGAAGAAAATATTACAATACCAAACTAGCCATATTAACAGGCCCTGGTGACTCCCTCAAAAAAAAAAAACAGGCCCTGGTGACCACCCTATATAGACAGTTCACTCTCAATCTCTCTAGGTTTACCGCAACAACAACAAAAGAATCTCCCTAGGTTTAGGACGTGATCCCTCTTCACAAAATAAAAAATACTCCCTCTGTAAACTAATATAAGAACGTTTAGAATACTAAAGTAGTGATCTAAATGCTCTTATATTAGTTTACGGAGGGAGTACTAGATATCATAAGTCTTTTTCAGTTCGGGTTAATATAATCTTCCTCTTGTTTAGATACATCTGCGTACTTCACACAAAAAAACAAAAACAAATTAGATCAATCATGGAGACACACAGGCACGAGGAAGGCTCCACGAAATTTCTGATTCAACCAACCAACAAAAAATGAAAGGATGGAGCCCTGGCCATGGCTGTGGCCGGGCATGCCGTAAACGGACACCACCTAGTTGCAGCAGGAAGAGAGGACGCGGTCACACGCGCTCATCTAATTCAGGCACACGCGCTCTCTCAGTCCGGAGACGCCAACCAAACCACCAGTCCACTTCACTAGGCTCCCGTGTGCCTCTGCTTTCTCTCAAAAATTCCTTTTCTCGGCCAGCTATAGATGGCCTACTACTCTCTTCAGGGACGTTTCACGCTTCAGGAAAACGGGCACATGGCTCCCTCTGCCGCTCTGTTCGCTCTCACAGCGTCCCAAGCCTTTTGTGTTCACTTTCAATTACTTTGCATCTACTGTACATCCTGGGCTGTCACTTAGGTGGTTTGCGTTCTCGTTCCACTAGTAGAAAAGGGGGCAAAGGTCCAGGCCGGGTCAGCCCATTAGTCCCGGTTCAGTCACGAACCGGGACTAATGTGAGCATTGATCCCGGTTCGTGCGGCTAAGGCATTAGTCCCGGTTCATCTGAGCCCTTTAGTCCCGGTTTGAGGCACGAACCGAGACTAAAGGGTGCGATGCCCTTTAGTCCCGGTTCGTGTCTCAAACCGGAATTAAAGATTAGACCTTTAGTCCCGGTTTGTGTCTTAAATCGGAACTAAAGGTCCCATTTTCAAACTCTACCACCCCCTCTCTGTGGATCGCCTTTTTTGTTTCGAAAAAATCAATAGAAAATGATAAAAACTTGAAAAAATAAAATCCTTCGAGTATATCTACTAGTTAGGAAAATTTAAAAACTTAAATTTGGACATGTTTTGCAAAAAATGTAGGGAAAATGTAAAACGGCTATAACTTTTGCATACGATGTTGGAAAAAACCGTATAATATATCAAAATGTTCAGAACGAAAATCTGCTTCCGATTTTGACCGCCTACGGCCTGTTTGCAAATTTTTAGAATCCTCAAATTCTAAAAGGAAAAAAAGTTATGCTTAAATTTCAGTTTTTTTTGAATTTTTGTTAAATCTGGTCAAACTATGGTCAAATACTTATTTAAGAAGTATTAGTGTTACTAAATAATTATTCAAGAATATTAGTGTTACTAAATAATTATTTTAGCTTTTTTGAATTTTGGTCAAATATGGTCAAACTGTGGTCAAACAATGATCAAACTACTTATTCAAGAAATATTAGTGTTACTAAATAATTATTTCAGTTTTTTTGAATTTTGGTCAAATCTGGTCAAACTATGGTCAAACTGTGGTCAAACTACTTATTCAAAAAATATTAGTGTTACTAAATAATTATTGTTTTTTAGAACAATAGTTTCAAACTCAAACAGTGAAATGTGTGACCAAATGCTCAAGCTAAATTCCTGAGGGTTAATAGGATTGACATCTTATTATTGTCAGGATAATAACAAGTGCAGACTTGAAAACGAGGGAGAATAGAACCTGAAAGTTAAGCGTGCTCAGGCTGGAGTACTGAGAGTATGGGTGACCGTTCGGGAAGTTAGATGATTTGGAATGATGAGGGGTGATTAGAGATTAAAGGTTAAATTGAGCAGTGATGAGGGATGATTAGAGATTAGAGGTTAAAATAATTCAGAAATTTGAAAATCAAAAAAAAATTCAAAAAAAATTGATAAAATTTCCTTTAGTACCGGTTGGTGTTACCAACCGGGACTAAAGGTGGACCTCTAGGCAGCGGCCATGTGGAGGGCCTTTAGTCCCGATTCGTATAAGAACCGAGACTAAAGGGGGAGGCTTTAGTACCGACCCTTTAGTCCCGGTTCCAGAACCGGGACTAAAGACCCTTATGAACCGGGACTAAAGACCCTTTTTTTACTAGTTCGGCTTGGAAGATGTTCTTTCCCACGAATTAGCTATAGTAAAAATGATAAATTAATTTATGCACCATGTGAGTTTTGGGGCTATAATCACGGCCTGTCTTGCTTTTTTGAAAAAAGAAAATAAAATAAAATCACTACTCGTCTCGCTGACATGTGGCCTCTGGACTCGATCGGGTTTATCTCCACTGGTGGTCGGCATAGACGTGACCCCAGGCATTTCGCAATAATTTTTTTTAAGATTGCTGAGTTTTAGTTAGTAGAAAGCAGGCAAATGTAGACCGCGGTTAAGCCTCCATTACCTAGTCATCTGTGGGGTCCACCTGTCAAGCACTGCCAAGTTAATATCCGACAGAACAAGGCAAACATGTGGCACTTCTGAGTTTCTTTCCTGGGGCCGGCTACGCGTGCGTCGGCCGGGGATCTTTTCAAAAGATATGTTGGCTCGCTTGACGTTGGACCCGGTGGATTGAGCGGCGAGCATCACCCTCTACCATTGCAACAAATATCGTGTTCCTGTAATTTTTTGCAACACGGGTCGTGTTGCAGTATTTTTTTGCAAAAGCATGCATAGGCCAGGCTAGATTTTTTTATATTTGCAACAGAGCTATTGTTACATTTTTTTCTTTTGCAATGGAGGTCATGTTACATTATTTCAGTAATGGAGGTCTTATTACAATATTTTTTTGCAACAAAGACCTTGTTGCAGAAAAGAGAGGTAGTGGGGTGCCAGTTCCACCACATTACGTGGGACGCATGGTATGCAGCCAAGCCGGCGGAATCGAGCGTGATAATCTGCCAACTGAACCATATGATATCTCTTCTTTCTTTCGCCGAGTTACTTTTCCCTGGCACTAGGCAACCGGTGAAGTTTGCCGAGTTGCATGACATTGCCGAGTATAATTATCAACAAACTCAGCAGAGACATTAATCTGCGGAGCTCGGCAAAATCATTGAACTCCAAAATATCCCAGATATAACTAGTGCTTCAACTATCCCAGATATAACTAGCTTGACGGTATGATAATTACATTGTTCACTTTTTAAATTAGGGAATAGCCAAGGATTATGCTCTCTAGCACTTCCCATGTGAAGATACAAGTATCACACTCCAGCTACTTCGGAATAACAAGAATTGCAAGTTCCAATATTGACATAACACAGATGGAAGAAGATAACAATTGATGATTGATGGCTTTCGAGTTATTTACTAAAGAACTCGAAGGCTTCCAAGTTATGCAAGGTTCTCTTCTTTCATCTGAGCAACCCCCTTTATGGTAGATATGCAAATTGTTTGACTTGCACATTAAGCTTATGTTGTTCTTGTTGCTCGAAATTTAAGTTTGTCACATACCTAGTATAAAGAAGGAGAAGCAACCATCACCGACATTTTAAATATAAGTGAGAGAGTGTCCATCATATATACAACCACCTAAGAGATGAGTTGTAAGATATGTTCCCGAAGGAAAGAAAACAACTTTTGACGTTGATGGTCGATATATGCGAGTTTGCCCTGTGATACCTTGGGGACGCACGACGGGCTGGCTAGCTCAACCATCACTGACAGTTAAAATACTAGTGAGAGGGTGTCCACATATATACTACCCCCTAAGAGATGAGAGTCGTAAGAGATGTTCCCGAAGGAAAGAAATCGACTTTTGACGTTGACGGTCGACCTGTGCGAGTTCGTCATGTGATACCTTGGGGGTGCACGACGGGCTCACCAGCTCGACCATCACCGTCAGTCAAAATACCAGTGAGAGAGTGTTCACCATATATACAACCACCTGAGAGATGAAAGTTATTGAAGATATCCACGACGGACTAGAAGTCAGCACACATATCATAGTAAATTAGCTGTGTAGGTTTGCAGTAAATAGATTAGAAGTACTCTTTGATGTTTGATTCTTATATTATTTTTTTCTTCATATGTTGAAAGGTGTTAGCACCGATCGATCTTGCGGTTATGACTTCCTACAATGACTCAGCTTCTGTTAGGGTCGACTCCGCAGTCAAGGAAGAGCGCGCCAGTGAGGACCCCTTGGGTGCACTCATTAAGGTGCAACCCTAGCTTGTCCTACTAAAACATTTTCAAGATCTGTCTAAGAAGAATCCGCCAGCTAAGGAGAGCGATGACCAGGTGTCATTGAGTCCACCCGGCATCCTTTCCGATAACGCTTACTCCTCCACCGTGGGGGATATCTGCACCTCTTTCAACTCCACGATCACTGGCTTAACTAACTACGCCTTGAAGTAGAGCTCCATTCTTGTAGTAGTCTGCTTGATATCTTGACGATGATGTAGGGATGTACCTATGTAGATGATGACGTCGACTTATATGACAACTTCTGATGCTTTTGGTATATGAATCATTAAGCCTTATATTGATTATGTCTTCGTGCATGTTTTTTTAAAAAAAAAGGGGGACTCCCTGGCCTCTACATCAGAACGATGCGTACAACCAACTTTATAAATAAGCAACTAGGTTCAACAAGGCCTTAAAGTCTGAACAAAAGTAGAGGCAAACTCACAAAGAGCCAAAGGGCCAAAAATAGAAAAGCCAAAAAGGCCATAACCGGCTGGCATAAGAAAGATAGGAAAACTAATTGCCTATCCTATTACATGACCGCCATCCAAACCGGTTGAAGATATCTCGTGCTACCATCTTTCACTGGATGGACCCAGTAACCAAACGCTCCCTGGCCTCCGTCGGAGTGAGTAGCGACCACATACGGATCAACGCAGTGGCGCGGAAGATAACCTGCAAAAAATGAATATTTGTTGTTCTGTTAAAAAGAAAATCATTTATGCAGTTCCAAATTGCCCATAATAAAGCACATACTCCTACGCGAATGTGTCTAGCTGTTTCGGACCCTATCCCATTAAGCCACGTTCCAAATAACGTGCTGACAGAATTTGGAGGAGTAATGTTAAAGGCTATGTGCACCGTCCGCCACAAAACCTTGGCCAACGGGCACTCAAGAAAAAGGTGTTTGATAGTTTCATCCCGATCACAAAAACTACACCTAGTAGATCCTGTCCAGTTGCACTTTGCCAAGTTATCCTTAATTAATATGACTTGTTTATGTACAAACCACATAAACACTTTAATTTTCAAAGTAACTTGACTTTCCAAACATATTTGGAAGTAGGAATGGCGTTAGAGTTGATAACATCGAGATACATCGATTTAACTGTGAATTCTCCAGACCTAGTGAGCTTCCAGCGCAACTGATCGGGCTGTTGAGATAGCTGAATCTCCATCAGTCTACTCACTAAATGAAGCCACGGTTTCCAATGATTGCCGGCAAGCGTCCTCCTAAAATGAATATTAAGGGGGATGGACTGAAGTATCTTGCAACATAAGCCTCACGTCGTTGAACAATGCTATAAAGGGACGGATACTAAAGCGCGAGTGGCGTCTCTCCTAGCCAAGTATCCTCCCAGAAACGAGTGGTAGTGCCATTACCAATTATAAACTTTGTCCTATTGAAAAAGACTGATTTGACTCTCATGAGCCCCTTCCAAAAAGGCGAATCCGCCGGTCTCACTGTCACCTAGGACAAAGTTTTGGACTGCAAATACTTACTACAGAGAATCTGCGTCCATATGGCCTCAGTCTCAACCGATAACTTAGACAAGCACTTGCTGAGAAGACATCTATTCTTGACTTCAAGATTTTCAATGCCAAGACCCCCTTGGCCTTTTGGTCAACAAATAATATCCCATTTGGCGAGTCTATATATTTTTTAGTTCATCACTCTGCCAGAAGAATCGGGATCGATAGAAGTCCAGCCTTTTCCTAACTCCAACTGAGACTTCGAAGAAAGACAAGAGAAACATAGGCATACTTGTGAGCACCGAATTAATAAGAATTAATCGGCCTTCGTATGACATGAGCTTGCCCTTCCAGCAACTCAGTTTCTTCTCAAAGCGATTCTCGATACACTTCTATTCTCGGTTTGTCAGCTTACGATGGTGAATGGGTATACCTAAGTAAGTAAAAGGTAAAGTCCCCAATTCGCACTCGAACAATTGCCTATAAGACTCTTGTTCCTCATTGGCTCTACCAAAACAGAACAATTCGTTTTTATGAAAGTTAATCTTTAACCCGGTCAATTGTTCAAATAAGCATAACACCAGCTTCATATTTCTCGCTTTTGCCAAGTCGTGCGCCATAAAGATGATCGTATCATCAGCGTACTGTAGGATAGACACACCTCCATCAACTAGATGAGGCACCAAGCCACCCACCTGAGCAGCCTCCTTAGCCCTTTCTATTAGAATTGCCAACATATCAACCATAATGTTAAACAAAACAGGAGACATCGGATCACCTTGTCTCAGGCCCTTATGTGTCTGGAAATAATGACCTATGTCGTCATTCACTTTAATTCCAACATTCCTTTTTTTGCGTGAAAGATTCTACCTGGCGTCGCCAGGCTTCATCAAAACCTTCCATACGTAAGGCCTGTTGAAGGAAAGGCCATTTGACTTTATCGTACGCTTTCTCGAAATCCACCTTGAAAACCACTCCATCTAGTTTTTTTGTGTGAATCTCGTGAAGCGTTTCATGAAGGACCACAACCCCTTTTAGGATGTTTCTGTCTGGCATGAAAGCAGTTTGGGAATGCTGCACCACAGAATGCGCAATCTGCGTGAGCCTATTGGTCCCAACCTTGGTAAATTTTTTGAAACTAACATTAAGAAGACAGATGGGCCTGAGAATAGATCACGGAACATCGATAACAAATCCCCCTTAATAATATGCCAACATTTTTTATAGAACTCTGCCGAAAATCCATCCGGTCCTGAAGCCTTATTGTTTTTCATCTGTGAAATGGCCTCAAACACCTCCTTCTCGGAAAAAGGGGCAACCAAAATATCATTCTCATCAGCAGCAAGTTGACGAATATCCTCAATCCTAGACTCATCCAGAGATACACAATTATCCTCTGGAGGCCCGAACAACTGCTTGTAGTATTCGCTTATGTATAATTTTAGGTTTTCCTGTCCTAAAATCGTTCCTTCATCTTGTTCAAGCTGAAAGATCCTCTTCTTTCTGTGCTTGCCATTGGCGATCATGTGAAAGAATTGAGTGTTCGCGTCCCCTTGAACAACTTTGCGAACCTTAGCCCGCAGTGCCCACTTTAATTCCTCTTCACGGAGAAGCTCTTTCAATCTCATCTCCGCCTCAAGCTTAGCATGAAGCTCCGAGGCTGGCAGAATTGTGGATTCGGCTTTTAAATCTAGGGACGGAATAAGTGTGAGAAGCCTTTCCTTTTCGACGTTATAAATCCCATTAAGATGCTTAGCCCACCCACGCAAAAACTTCTCAAGTGCCTTATCTTATTCTGCCATCGCTCAACCGCAGTTCTGCCTCCTGCATCCTTAGCCCATTCCCTGGCTACGAGATCCAAAAAGCCTTCTCGTTCAAACCAAGCTAGTTCGAACGAAAAAGAGTTTTTGTTCCCCATGTGGGTTGCCTCACCAGAGTCCACAAATAAAGGCGTGTGGTCTGAAATACCACGTAAAAGTGCCCGGACCGTTACAAAGGGAAACTTCTGTTCCCATCCGATGCTCGCTAGGACTCGATCCAGCTTTTCAAACGTCGAATTTGGCAACGCGTTGGCCCAGATGAATTTTCTACCCGAAAGCTCTATCTCTCTCAGATGTCTTTGTGCATGTGTTTCTCTAACGCCTTGTTCTATGCTTTAATTAGTTTGATGAAGAACTTCAGACTTGTTATGATTCTTGTGCTTTGGCTCTGATGTGGCACGGTATGCGGACACATTTTGCTGCTTGTATATGTCTTTTCTTGTAGGTCTGATATGATTTGATCTTTGCCGAGTACACAACTGGGTAAATACTAATTGTCGAGAACAAAGCTCAGCGAATAGGCCAGGTGACCTGTTCTGGTAGCCTAATCCGAACTTTGCCGAGTACACAAAGAGGCATCTCAGCAAACCTTCGCTGCTGGGCACTTGCCTGAGCATGGAATCACCAAGAGGGCACACTCGGCAAAAACTGTACTCGGTAAAGATCGAGTTTGCCGAGATCAACCTGGCCAATCTCAGTAAATGTTGGGTGCTACATGCCTTGCTCCTGGGCTTCCAAAAGTTCGTCGAGTCCCCATCCTTGGCTCTCGGCAAACTAGTCTACCACATGGTAGCCGCCATCTTCGTCCGGCCTGTTAAGTCCCTTTTTTTTTGAGCCCCCCATTTTGTTCTTGGCACACACTCTGCCGAGTCCCCGATGGACGGCCCTCGGCACAGTCGTCTTTGCCAGTAGGTTTCAGGCCGAGTATCCTTAGCAAAGAATTACACTCGGCAAACTCTTGCCAAAACTCTCTGCCAAGTGTAAATGTAAAACGGCTTTCGCCGAGTTTTTTCGGGCTGGAGAAACTCAGAAATTCTATGATATGAACAATGCATTTTTTTGCCTCTAACCGCCTCTCATTTAACATCCTAATTTGAGTAATCATGCCTCTACCCCTGATTAAAGCCAAAGCAACAGAAGAATAAAAGAAGGAAGAAATTAGAGAACACAAGAATAAATCTAAAAACTGTACTTTAAGACATAGCAATATACAAATTTAGGTGACAGTACTTTACAAAAAATCTAGGTAACCTAGAACTATAAAAAAATTGAATATACATCGGAATGCCAACTGGAGGCTGAGCTTCTTGGGGGCCTTAATTTTAAAAAATCTAATTCATACTTTTATGTTTCATTTTTTTTGAAAAACAAAACATATACACAGAGACATAGTGTGCATGTGTGTAAATTTTCATGATGATATATGTTAAAATGAGATCTATATAAAAACAAAGCTAGGTGTGGGATTTCAACCTATGTATTGTTCATCCCGAAATTCCTAAATTTTATTTTTTATTAAGCCCGCAATTCAAAGTATTTCTTAATGCAATATTACATAGATATACATTACATCCTTGTATACGTGTATATTTGTTTCTAGAATTTAGAAACTAAAAAGTTTGATTTTTTTTTTGCAAAGTTAAGGCATCCATGCATGGAGCTCGTGCTCCAAAACGCCCTACTCAATATATATGTTTTATTCTTATAGAGAAGAAACCAAGGCCATCCCAAATAAGTACTTGCGTTTGAGCTAATTCACCAAAATTAAAATTTAAAGGACGAAAAGAGACATGAGCTATCAGATTTTCCTCTTTTAAGAAGAAAAAGCCCGTCTGATTGTTCTAACAAAGAAAAAGAAAAAAAAACAATATAATGTGACATCTGATCTGAATACTAGAGGAGATCGAGAAGAAATGTCATTAATTGGTTACATGAAACATATTCTTGAGATCGGCGACGTGCCACATAACGAACTTCCCCAAATTACAGCAGCTAGAAATATTGGCCACAACAGCCACACAAATTATGCAGAACTAAGAACACAAATTACCAACAAGAGCATGGGGCATTAGAACAGCTACATTACATCAGACGTGCCACATAACGAACAAGTCTACCAGTGAGTACTACACAAAACCAAGAACACAAATTACCAACAAGCAGAGGGTATTAGAACAGTCACATTACATCAGCTAGCTAGAAACATAAACCATCAGCCGTGCAAAAGTCACTCCGACCAGTGAGAATAAGAACTTCGACCACCGTACCTAGTTTCGATCCTGAGCATCAATGGCCACCAGGACCTTTCTGAACTTCGCACTTGACCTTCTTGAACATCGCCGGCGACGTTGCCGTTGACAGAGCCAACTCTAGCCGGCAGATCGCGTCCAGCCTGTGCTTCTTGTGGTGTGGCTGGTACATGACCTCGCCGACAAGCTTCACCTCGAGCTGGAACTCCCCCGCTTCGGACTGCTGGAGGAAGTCGGCCACTCCTGCGCTCCCCAGCGCGACGCTCGCGCTGTCGGCCGCCGCCGTGGCGTGGTACACTTCCCTGCGCCGCGGTCGGACCACGGCCCCTGCGGTCGCCAGTCCGACGCGGGCGAAGCGGGCGCCGTCGAAGAGCAGATCCGCGTGGAGCGGCGCGGTGTGTTCGGCGGGCATGATCAAATTCCCGTTGTGGACGGCGACGGCGATGGAGATGTCGTAGGCGAGCGCAGTGGCCGTGGCGTTCTTGTCGGCGAGGGCGAGGCGGGAGAGGGCCGCGTCCTCCACGCTGACGCCGACGCGGCGGGGGACGAGGGCGATGACGAGCAGCGTGACCACGGCGGCGAGGACGGCGAAGATCACGAGACCACAGACGATGCGGAGGAGTGCCTTGCCGCTGATGGCATCCGAGAAGCAGACGAAGCAGAAGCACGGCTCATCGCAGCAGTCGAAGCACTCATCGCAGCAGTCGCCACAGTCAAGGTCGCCACAGTCGCCGCAGTCGATGGCGCCACAGTCGAAGTCGCCCATCCTTGCAAATTATGTTGTGAGCAGCAGAGCTAGCAGCAGAGTGCGGACGCGAGGACTGGGATTGTGGGGTTGCTTGGCATATATAGCGCTGGGAGTGGAGACCGCATATGCCCACGCAGCGCAGCGCTTCTTCTTTTTCTTTTCTGTTTTGCAATCAAGGAGCTTTACTTACTGGGTGGGTCTAAGGCACATCTAGATGTGCTCTAGTTATTACACATCTAAGTGAGTGAATCAAGCATAAAAAAAAGAAAAAAAAATATTCACACGAATCTTAATGTAAGATCAATGACATATGACTTAGATGTGCAATACTTATGACACATCTAGATGTGCTTCAGCAAAACTGTTACTTATTACAAAACCAAATTATATAAAGGTAATATGTACAATATAGGAGAAAGTGCATTTTATGCCCGCTATGCATGGAAAATTTACCCCCCCCCCCCTCTAGTCGACGATGCCGAATGTTGTTGCCGAGCTTTGCCAAGCTCTAAACCCTAGCTCTACCTCTCTCTCTCGCTGCACGTTGCTCACTCTCTGTGCTCGAACGACAGAAGGAGGAGGAAGAAGAATATCGGTGGAGGCAGCGGACACAGAGGTTTTTCCGGCGCACAAACGCCATTTTCTTTCCCTCAAGCACGAACTCGACGTGTCGTCGAGCTACACAGAGGTGTGGGGGATTTATATATACCCACGAGCACTGGCATGCCAGGCCTCGCCTACACGCACTCGCTCCCCCCACTCGCCACGCCCCGCACGCTCCGGCTCGCGCCCGCGCATTGCACAAGCACATGGTCGCCGCAGCCTCCTCACGCGCCCGATGCGGTCTCCTCCCTTGGACCCTTGCTAACTAACCCGCGTGGCCCTGCGCACACACACGCTAGCTGACACACACACACCTACGCTCAGGCGCGCATGCACGCACCCGAGCCCTGTCACGGCCTAACCCGACGCGACCACCGCGCACACACACACGCACGCCGCGTCCCGGGCTTGCTGTGGCTTATTGCCCAACACCGAAGACATGGGCCAACATCAGGAGCGACAAGGACGAGCGTCTACCCCGGCTAGGCCAAGCCAGG